TGCGTTCGCCACGTTCATTTCGGCTCAACACTTAGACGATCCGCGGCCCCATCGGGAGCGCCACCGAAGGCCCCATCGGCGGTGTTCGCATGCGACCGCCCTGTCCGTTTCGGTACATTCCTCGCGCTTCTCGCAGCCCCATGAGGAGCTCCACCGAAGGCCCGAGAGGTGGCGTTCGCATGCGTCCGCCGCACCAATTGCGGAACACCTCTCGCGCGTTTCGTGATTCATAGGGAACCCTGCCGAAAGCCGCAGTTGCTGCACCCGCATGCGCCCACCGCGCCCAGTTCGGCACATCCTTCACCTTTCTCGTGGCCCCACAAGGAGCTCCACCGAAGACGACGCTCACAACTGCGTCAGTCACAAGTGCATATGGATGGGTCCGTCGCCGGGCGAATTCCAACACGCTCATCAAATGTGACCAAACGGGCCTCGGGTGCGCGCATGTCGAAAACATTCGAACGCCTTCGCACGTGTGCAGGGGGGCGGGGCGATCCCGGCCAAATAGTTCCACGCGGGCCACTCGCGCCCGTCGGCCGCGCGCACATGCCAAAGTCCATTTAACATCCTTCACCACCGACGCGTGGGCATTGTCATCGTCACCGGTTGGATCGGCATCGGCACCGTTATTTGCCTTGCCACCGTCATCGTCATCATCGTCACCAGCATCGTTACTGTCATCATCGTGTCTGCCGTTGTCGACGTCGCCATGATACCGCGCCCGCCCGAGCCAGCGACTCGCAGTGAATTGCGTGCGCGTCAGCGCGGCCTGCGAGACGTGCTGGGGCGTGCCCAGCTGTCAGCGCCACCGCGGCCGCCTCGGTCGCGCCAGACTAGCCAGCCGCTCTTCGCGCGAGTTTGCGCGCGCCAGCGCGGCCGCGGCGATGAGCTAGCCAGCGCCAAGCAATCGTCGCCATCGCTGCTGCATGGGCTTTGCAGACCTAGTTGCGGGTCGGTGGGTGGGATGAATGCGCGAGCAGTGGGATTGACAACTCTCGAGTGAACATGAACATTTTTCGCCCCTTTAAGAAATTAGGATTCACCACCGCCCGATGCCGGGATTATTGGTCCCCTTTGGGGTTGTGCAATTTACATGTGGTTCTACGCCATGAACTCATATTATCCCAGCCAAGCCGGGTTCGACCCCGCTCCATCCTCTGCAAAATATGCTCTGCGGGCACACTCGTTAATCATAAATCATCAACATGCAAGAACCTCTTGCAAAACAACGGAACGAAATGCGCGCGCGCGTCGTCGTGCGCGTATGTCGGAATCCTCCAACAACCTTTTATGTTTCGAGGCTTCGTGAAGAATTTAAATCCGAGTGCCCCGAAACATGACACAAAAAACACAACGTGATGCAACATGGCTTGTTCAACAATTTTTATTTCACAGCAGGAGCCTGGCAAGGGGCCCGACCATATGCAGTTGTGAATGACGCAATTGTGCGTGTCGCCTTCGGTGGAGCTCCTCTGGGGCCACGAATCGTGTGAAGAACGTGCCGATGTGGGCACGGTGAGCGCATGCAAACGCAGCCACTCGCGCCGTCTACGGGGTTCCCTGTGGGGTCGCGAAACGTATGAGGGGTGTTCCGAAATTGGTGGGGCGGACGCATGCGAACGCCATCACTGGGGCGTTCGATGGGGCTCCCTGTGGGTCGCGAAACGTGAGAGGGGTGCGCCGGCATGGGCAAGGCGGACGCATGCGAATGCCGCCACTGGAGCCTTGGGTGGCGCCACGGGGGCCTTCGGTGGAGCTCTCTATGGGGCCGCGAAGCGCATGGGGGTGTGCGGAAATAGGTGCGGCGGGCGTATGCGAACGCAGCCACCCGGGGCCTTCGATGGAGTTCCCTGTGGGGCCGCGAAACGTGTGAGGGGTGTGCCAAGAGGGGTGCGTTGAGCGTATGTCAACGCAACCAACCGTCGGCGGGACTCCCCATGGGGCCACGAAGCGTGTGCGGGATGTGCCGGAATGGCTGACTGGTGCGGAAGGCACGGGCAAGGGTGGGAGGAAGGAAAAACGGGGGGAGCAGGCGGGGGGCGGAGGGAGGGAACTTGGGCGCTGTCTCTTCACAGCGAGGACCCAACACCACAGGATGGTTGGGACAAACTATGGGCTTCATACGAATTCGCAGGCGCATGAGCAGATTTCTTTGACAAACACACATGTTGCACAACCATGTGGTTTTACAAGTTTTCGGGAAGCTCGACCTTGACATCCTTGCGAAACCTGTAGTTTTGAGGAGTTTCGGCACGCGCGTGCGACGAAGCTCGTGTGTCGACTTTCTCATGACCTTTTGCGAATAGTTTTTAGCAACTCATGATGTTTTCCTAACAATCCTATGGTGTTGGGTCCTGTTTCGGAGAACCAGCGCCCCGCGTTCTCCATCCTCCTCCCCCTGCTGCCCCCTCCCTCCTCCCTCCTGCCCTACTTTCAAAAAGTCGCCACTGGCTCTTGTCGTGGCCCCGTCCGAAGCCCCCGCTAAGGTCCCAGTGGCTGCGTTCGCGCGCCCCCACCGCGACCATGTTGGCACATACTTCGCGTGTTTCGTGGCCCCATAAGGAGCTCCACCGACGGCCCTAGCGGCTGCGTCCGCGCGCGCCCACCGAACCCATTTTGGCACATCACTCACACGTTTCGTGGCTCCATAGGGAGCTCCGCCGAAGGCCCAAATGGCTGCGTTCGCGTGCGCCCACTGCGCCCATTTTGGCACATCCCTCAGGCGTTTCGTGCCCCCCTAGGGAGCTCCACCGACGGCCCCAATGGCTGCGCTCGCATGCGCCCACCACAACCATTTTGGCACACCCCTCACACGTTTCATGGCCCCATGGGGAGCTCCACCGACGGCCCTATTGGCTGCGTTCGCATGCGCCCACCGCACCAATTTCGGCACACCCCTCACACGTTTCGTGGCCCCATGGGGAGCTCCACCGACGGCCCCATTGGCTGCGTTCGCATGCGCCCACCACACCAATTTCGGCACACCCCTCACACGTTTCGTGGCCGTATAGGTAGCTCCACAAACGGCTGTAATGGCTGCGTTTCCATGCGCCCACCGCGCCCATGTCGACACACCCCCCAAGCGTGTCGCGGCCCCATAGGGAGCCCCACCGAAGGCTCCGGAGGCTGTGTTCGCATGCGCCCGCCGCACCCATCATACATATATATATATATATATATATATATATATATATATATTCTGGAAGAGATCATAACATAGCCGAAGCCCGCGCGTCGTCGCGCGCGCGTGCCGAGATTCCGAAATTCAAGGGTGCGCAGGGATGCCAAGGTCGGGCTTCCCGAAAATTTGTAAAACCCCATGGTTGTGCAACATGTTTGTTTGTCAACGAAGTGTGCGCGTGTGCCTGCGAACTCGTATGAAACCCATAGTTTGTCTCAACCATCCTGTGGTGTTGGGTCCTCGCTGTGAAGAGACAGCGCCCCGCGTTTTCCTTCCGCCCCCCGCCTCTTCCCCCCGCTCCTTCTTCCTCCCACACGTGCCCTTGCCCTCCGCACGAGTCAACCATGTCGGCACACCCCTTACTCGTTTCGTGGCCTCATAAGGAACTCCGCAGACAGCCCCACTGGCTGCGTTCGCAAGCGCTCACCGCGCCCATGTCGGCACACCCCTCACACGTTTCGTGGCCCCATAGGGATCTCGTCCGAATGCGGAGCATTCATGGTTGGGTCCTTCGCCCGGCTAACTGATCAGTGAGGGTGCGCGCACAATGTTGTTTGACAGGGAT